TTAGTATCATTAATTATTCCCATTGACTCCTATTGGTGTGCACATACGTATAAATGTAAGTATTTTACATTATTTTCACTAGGCTCAATGGCTTCCTATCTGTCATTAATAATCCTCTTCCTCTTCACAGCATTCTTGTTGTTTATGGCCGTAACCAGCTTTATACATCGTTCAATTGTCTACGCCGTGGTGTGGTCCGTTGGGTTCGTTTTGTCCGTTATAGGCACGATTTATAGGTTGACGGAGGTTTGTGGAATTTCTTCTCGTCGGGAGAAAGACGTACAAGTTACAGGTACAAATGCGACATGAAAAGAAGATGTATCATTCAATTATTGTATTTTGAAGAAAGTTTTAAAAGAAAATTAAAAAAGAAAGAAATTGCCCGTGATGATTTCTTGCTTAGAAACCACTTCGTCCTTGTTTTCTCCATTCTTTTACTTGAATTGAAGGGTCATTTGATGTTAGAATAAAATATAATTTAAGGAGAAATGCAGTATAATTTGAGGTTGACCATGGGTTAGAAAGTCATTATTGGAGGTTTAGAAGGCTCGTAGCAATTTATGGTAGTTTAATTACTCAGTACATTTTCTATCTGATGATTTTCATTTTTTTCTTTTCTATACATGGTCGCGCTGTTTATATCAAATATAGTGCAAATTATATATGTATATATGGGTCATGCTACTTGTATACTTTCGTTGTACACAATGCCTTACACCCTCTCACATGAAGGAGACCCATGCATAATAAATTATATAAATTATATGTGGACTCAATACACAGTGTAATCCAATATATATTTGAAAATTTGGTGTCATAACGTGTATAGATCCAATTCACTTTATTCCTCTATTTTTGACTAATTAGTTTGATGAATGAAAAAAATAATAATAAAAAATACAGTAAGCTTGGCTAAAGTTTTAAATTTTCTAATATTTTTAAATATGTTATTGTGATTAAAGAATTTCACCCCTCCCGCCCCCCGCCCCCCCCAAATGTCACTATTTCTATAATTATAAGTAAAAACCACTACGTAAAATGAATATTTGAAGAATTCTTTGATTTCTATAATTATAAGTAAAAACCACTACATAAAATGAATATTTGAAGAATTCTTTGTGGTTATTTGCTGCCACGAGGACAGGTGATGAAAGTAAAACCTGAAATTTCCATTTCCCTTGTTGGGGCATATTTGCTTGTTTGGAAAAAAAAATTAAAATTTCATTATAATTTGCATGTCAAAGCCAAATATTAATTTAACTATATATTTAATATCTACAATTATTATCTACTAATTATTCACACGGTTTGTAAAATCCAATACTCCCATTACAATTTCTCCGAAACAAACAGTAAATTTGATGGGCCACATGAAATGAATCTCGGTTAATGATGGTGCATTTGTGTCTCGTTCAATATACTGGACTAGATGTTCAAGGAACGAGAGTACAACTTTTACTGGATGGCATTGAACAAATATTTTCTCATAAAATAAATATCAAGAAAATAATTTTTAATTGAAGGAAAATTATATTTATACCAAAAAAAATTCTTAATTACGCCACATTTTAATTTCAATGAAACATCAAACTCTTATCATGAATGTTCTATTAATTTACACATCTTGTCTTTTATGATGGGCTTCATTCAAAAACATTGTTAAGAGAGTATAAAAAGACTTATTTGTCTTTCATAATTTTAAATAACCAAAACAAACTACAAATATACAAGTTTGATAAAATATGTCTTCATATTTCTACACGTTAGTATAATATTTAGACAAAAATCGTCATCAAATACAATATGTGCTAATTAATCAAAAATTTTAATAATAGTAAAAATATGATGAAGGATTGAGGACATAAGTGCAAAAATGAGCAAATATTGAGGACGTTCTTTGAAATTAAAATTTCTTCAGATAATAAAAAAATTGCGATGCGACTAAAATTACATTATTTAAGGGGAAAGACAACTTTTCATTTCTCAAACTGTTTATCGTGGTGTGTCATAGAGACAAATTACGTACAGTGGTGGAAAAGATGAGGTTTTACATTGTTGGATCAATTTTTCTTCTACTTTGTTTACCTTATTCTAGTGTCAATAACATAAATATTTCACTTATGTTCAATCGAATTATTACAAATCAATTTAATTTCAATCAAAAATTCCATTCAATTCTATCATTTGAACTAACGGAGATCGAAGCTCACGGTCAATTAATTGTAGGCGTTATTTATTTCACTATAAGTGGAATTTGACCAGCTTATCTGAATTGAAATAAAAAATTAAAAGTATATTCATCTAATTAAAATCTTAAAGTATAATTACCGGAATCAACAAGATTGAATTAGCATACATGATTAACACATGGAAAAAGTATAATGGGGAAAATTCATATCTAAGGTGTATACTTAACACCATTTCACAATTGAGGTATAAAAAGTATATATTCAAATCTCAGGTATATATATATTCTGTTACGTATCTTTCCTATAATCCCGTCTAGTTTCCATCAATAAAAGGTCTCTACCGTCACAAAATTCTCATCAAAAATAAAACATCCAGAGTAATTTCAATCCAGACACTGTAGAACCCTAATTCATCAGGTAATTGTGCATTCGCCATTCAAATATGAAATGATTGATGTCATTGACATTGATATTTTCGTGTCACAAATTTGGAATCGGCTTGGAGAAATTGACGTTTTCGCATAACAGAAATCAATCCAAATATTGGTATGATTATTGCACTCCTTCCTTTTTTGCATTTAGCATCATCAAATAAGATCCGAATTTCTTCTGTACGCAAATTTCCAGCATCTGAGTCTATCGTGGCCACATATGTCTCAAATTCAATAATATTGTGCAGTGGGACATGAACAATATGCATGATATGTAACTTAATTGAGTGTGACCAGTCTTAGACAAGTGTAGCATCGATTGTGGATGTTTATGACCACTAAAACAAATGTGGCAGATTGTAACAATATCAATCATAAGATGTGAACAGCGTATGTGACCTTTCTGATTTACACTGGAAGACGAATAAACAGAGGATTCGTTGTGGTCGATTAAATATGACCTCTGGGAAAAAAATGTGACCTCCATTTGTTTTCGATTATCTGTAAGACATTATATTTGCACTGATCATACCCGTGTGTGACCTATTTCGATGTTTGACCAAAATATGATCCGATATTTGACCAAAATATGACCATTCGACACAACGGTATCCGTACGCATGTCACATATGTGAACGTGTAAGCGAATCGGAGAAGAGAATGAAACCAATTTTGTTCATGAGATGTGACCTGCATTTTTTAGTGTCATATGTGACTTCATGTTATTGCATAAATTCTTATATAAAACTGTATGCACAATATTAAATTAACCATCGAGAATGTGAGGATTTGAAGTTCAATTTTGCAGAAATGGTGTACTTGCACGTATGTTTGTTGCATGGATCTCAGTCAGCGTTGGCGTTGGTAGACCGTGGATGCAGTTATATAAACCTTGTAAGTACGATTATGTCAGAGTTCAGCTTGGATCCGACTAAGATAGCAGTATCATTGAAGTATATACTCAACAACGATTTGCTTGCAATCAGGATAAAAAATGACAGCAACGTGCTTGCATACATTCTGCTGAAAGAAGTCGATCGTGATCCAGCTAAATACCCATTAATCATTGACATAATTGATGCAGTAATAGAGTACCCGTCTGACATGGTCATAGATAATGCTTATCGTAATAGTGAGCTTTATACGTTACAGGATGTGGTCACAGAAATCTGCGAAACATCAAGTAAACATGTAGGTCACATTTGTGACAATGAAGTCACGATTGTTTCTATAGCAGATGCTATTTTGGTCGAAGAAGGAAGGATTTTTCGTGATAAGGATATTGTAAAATTGAGCCTATCCTTTTTTGCCATATGAAACATGTTTGAGTTTATGGTTGAACGATCCGACAAGAAAGAATATGTGATGAGGTGTTCTCAGGAAGGATGTACTTGGATATGCCGATCGTCAAAATGGGGTTAAACGAATCTATTTAAGATTCGAAAGATTGGTAGTCACACATTTGCATCAAATGTGGTGTTGGAGTCACACAGACAAGTATCAGCTACAGTTGTGTCATCTAGCATCAAGTACAAGTACACATCGGCTGGCACCATATACACACCAAAGGACATATGCAGTGATATGCTACATACTTTTGGAGTATATTTGAATTACTCAAAAGCTTGGAGATCCCGTGAACAAACATTGAAGATGATTAGGGGTAATCCAACGGAATATTCGGTAGGATACCAAGCTTCTTCTACATGGTTCGACAAAGAAATCCTGGTACGGTCACAGAGTTGGAGGTCGATAGTCACAATAGGTTCAAGTACTGTTTTATGGTACTCGGTGTATCAATACAGAGGTCGCAACATTGTAGGCCCGTAATTGTCGTTGACGGTACTTATTTGAATGGTCATTACGGAGGTACCCTATTCACAGCATGTACACAGGATGCAAATAATGACATATTTGTTCTTGCTTTTGAAGTAGGGGATAATGAGAACGACAAATCTTTGAGATGGTTTTTGGAGAAATTGAAGAATGCGTATGGGTATAGAGAAGGATTGTGTTTTGTATCGGACCATCATGGCAATATAAAGAAAGCAATAGAATAGGTGTATCCGAAGAGTTACCATGGTATCTGCTCGTACCATTTGCTGCAGAATCTAAAATCATATTATGGGAAATCAGGGCAAAATATTACGCAGACTTTCAAATCGGCTGTCCGCACTTACACATTAGAAGAATTTGAATACAACATGCAACAACCAGACGCAATGAATGCTAAGATTCGTGATTACCCGGTACTGTACTGACTACAGCACTCCATTATCACATGCAGTGAAGTGGTCACATATATCCTTTTATACTATTCTCATACTACAATATATTTTGGCAAGATGAAGTAGGCCCTGAAAAGTGGTCACGAATACATATGTCGGCAAACAGATACTTTACAATGACATCAAACACTGTAGAATCAGTAAACACGGTTACAAAGGCAGCTAAGAATTACCCCATTGTATTCTTGCTGGAGTCATTACGACAAACAGTACAAAATTGGTTCTGTAAACATAGAGACGAAGCGCATGGAACTTTCACGATGTTGACTAGCAAGTTCGAGAACGTCATGAGGAGAATGAGTTCAGAATTAAGGAACTTGAGGGTAACTTTCTTATGTATCCTAAAGTTTGTGTATGTGGACTAAACAGAAATATGCATGTGATTATATCATAGGTGTCTGTGGCATAGAATGTACGTATGTGCTTATGTGTCCAAATATTAATTGCACGTGATCACTAATTTACATATGTGACGCTATGTACTTTGTTTGTGGTGATAAATAATTTGTATGCTAATGCTAAACTTGTGACCTGAGTATGAAGTCATGTGACCTGAACACACCATTGTGCACTGAAATATGAATGTCTGTGACCTATTCTTTTTTGAGTTTAAACTGACACATAACATTGGTGCTACTACACTCTCACAGGTATCTCCTTCCAACCAAACAGTGTTCTCCGTGAGCGATGAAAGGACATTTGTTGTTGACATTGAGCAACGTACATGCACTTGCAGGATGATGCAGGTCGATCTGATGCCTTGTCCACATGCATTGGCTATAATTGCACATACAAAAAAGGATGCATATTCTTATTGTTCCTATTATTACACAAAGGATGCATATGTAAATGCTAACGAAAGTTCGGTATATCCTGTTGGAAATCCAGATGAATGAGAAGTGCCCGATGAAGTAGAATTCCAAATTGTTTTAGCTCCTAACCAGAAGCGAAGTTCTGGAAGACCTACTAAGAAGAGGAAGAGATCATCTAGGGAAGGGAAACCAAAAGTAAGATGTGGACGTTGTGGTGCACATGGTCACAACCGCAGGAGATGCTCAAGTTTGGTCCCATTAAGTAAGAACGGTTGATAGGAAGTCAATACATGATAAAGACTTATCAAAGTTAGGTCGCATTCTTGAATTCTTATTAGCATACCGACATGTAGACATGTGTTTCAATTGATCAATTGACAAACGATGTTTAAATAGTAAGGTAATAAATGCTAAATGAAGTACATCTACACTTTTTATTTAGTTTAACGTAGAGTTGTGTAAATTTAAAAATATAGATTCCATACACATCAATATATTTGAATTGTGACCATTAATTCACTTAATGGCATGAAATGTGACCTAAACGTGGTGGAAAACAAATATATGTCCAGGTCACAGATTCCATAAATAAGATGAACTTTGACTAACTCTTGGCATGCTATTGTAATTGATATGTGACCTGTTCTTGACCTATGCCATGGCAAACTGAAACTGTGACCAAAAGCACAACCAAATCATTGGCCAGGTACGTGACCTATTATTTACAAATGGCATGGCAGACTACAACTGTGACAAAAATCGAAACCACATGATCTTGGCATGAAATGTTAAGAGTGCTACATCTGTGATCTGCTACGCATATACTATGTGACTTGTTATTAACATATGTCATGACAAACTAAAACTCTGACCAAAAGCAATACTAAATCTGTGACCTGGTACTGTAACCTAATTTTCAATGTACAATTCGACCTGTGACCTGATCTTTGCATCATATATTATGAGTGCTAAATCCGTGACCTGCTATGCATATCATATGTGACCTGTTATTGACATATGTCATGTCAAAGTAACTCCCACCAAATGGAATATTAAATCTGTGAACTGGTAGTGTTGATATGTGAACTATTATTTGTACACAACATTGCAAAATAAATCTTATACCAAAAGCACAACTATGTATCCAAGCAACAACATATTAACAATTGAAGGTTGGGGCACCCATGTATTGCAAAAGCATATTCACATCCAGATGACAGTATTGAGTACAAACACCTCCACTGCTTGAAAGAAATATAAAAGGCTACCAACTGAAGCAGAAAACTCATTTACAAATGTTTTCATATTTGTTATTCTATTAAAATCCCCTCCCCTTTAAAAGTTTGCCTCGCCTTCTTCACGTAAGGTTCTCGATGTTTGTAGAGTAGTGATTCTACATTTTGCAGCATCGAACTGATGGGGAATAGCACATCTGCCATCACGGAGGATATACAATGCATACAATATCACGAACACCCCACAATCATGACTGTAAAAGAACACAATATAGTATGTTATGAATTAATTAATTTACAAGTTATACTGCTATAGTTGGTCACATACTTACCCATTTGTCTGCTGAGGCAAGGTACTGTCAATGGTCACCTTCATTTGCTTGCATTCAGATTCATTGTAATCGGGGTCTTTTTTTGAAATTCCCAACGCTTTCATAAGAGCAGACAATACCTTCACATAGGGCTCAATACTTTCCAGCACCTTCCAATCACGATAAGTTTTTCCAGCTGAATTGAATAGCATTAAAGTATGGCTTCTAAATTCTACCAGATCTAGCATCCAGTGAGCTTTGTTCGTGGGCAGGAGTGGCATGAACACATAGTCTACATCGGCCGAAGATGTGCTTAGGGATATTAGGCGACCTGTGACAGCCCTAATCAAGCTGCTCTCTGACAACAGAACTTGAGGGTCTTTTTGGAAAGCGAGAATATATCTTTTATCTTGTTTTGGAACCAAGAGTCCGTCGTTGTAGCTCTAAACTTTACTTTCTTAAATTTTGCTACTTGGTGAATATAGTAGAAGCATGCATCCATGTGCTGTTTGAACATAAAGGACATAGATAGGAATAACATTAAAAAGTTATGACTCTATGACAGTGGGCTGCTCAGCGGTATGTCTATAGTGTTGTATAAGGTTCTTAATGTTGTGTAACTGGTTAACAAAGAAATGTGTAGTGAATAGATACATAAGCGTTACCATACCGAACCGCTTAAAGACATTTCAGCATCTATCAACTGGTGGAACCATGTCTAGTGACCGATTGGATATAAGCCAATAGTAAAGGCTGGTTTGATTTGATCATCGTGCTCGTTAAACTTTTTCCTGTTGCCAAAAGTTGACTGTCAAGATACTGTGACTGTGAGACCAATGTATTTGAAAATATAAAAAAAAATGTACATGCCTATTTTTGGGTTTATACCCTCTCTGAAACCAACCCAAGAATGCTGATTTATCAGCTTCTTCAACATGGTCTTTATAATTTCCAAATACAATAACATTACCGTCATGCCGCGGTACCTTTCCTTCCCCAGCAACAAATGGAGACCGCGGTATCCTCGTAGGCCTTGAAGCCCGCTTAACTGGTAATTCAGTACTTGGTGATCCCTGTGACTTGTAAAAGGTCACATTTAGTTTGCATAAATTCGATGTACACATTGTGTGACTAGCATATTACACTAAAAAAATAATTTGAACAACTCTTCGTCAACATTTTGGGATGCTGTGATCACATCAAATATGACAGCATCTACCTGCTTTTGAATTTTTGCAGACTGCAAATCATCCGGTTGTGTGTATCCGATACCCAGGTCAAATGATGGCGGTTCAAAACTACTTGGAAAGGCAACATCTTCAGTTGGGTCGACCTTCCCCTTCCCTTTCTTACCGACGATAGGTTACATTTTTTCCACCTGTATGTGAAATTGGAGAATTTGAAACATGAAATCTGTAACTATGTTCAGTGAAAGATAGATTGAACATATCATGTACCTACCTCGTCGATCTTCTCGAATCCTTCGACAGCTTCCGTGTCTTCATACTCATTAACTGAACAACCTTTCCTATCATTGAATCACCTTAATCTCATCCATGGAGTTTGAGATCATTGAAGTCACGGATTCAGACAGGAATTGCATGTTCGTCTTAATCTCGATCATGTCATGTTTTAACTGTCCTTGCATTAGGATAATTTCAGATATCTTTTTTGCCTGATCAGAGTTGAGGCTCGACATCTGTGACTTGATGCCGTCCATCTCCATGGTTAATACTTTATTCTGTGACTTAAGTTTTGAAATTTGCACATTCAAATCGTGAAGCACCTGTAAACATATTTAAGATAAATAGTTACATGTGACCTTCAAAAAGATGCCTGTGACCATGAGAAATGAACTATAACCAGTACTAAGTGAACTGTGACTAGTACTAAGTCAACTGTGACCACAATTTGAAAACATTTGAACAGAAATAAAAAGAATCTTACAACACTCCCTTGAATCCCATGATGTTGTTCTTCATTTGGAGAATGTTGGGGACCTAAAGGGCCTTCATTAGCACGGGGTGTTTCCTGATGGGATATCCCCTCACATCGTCGTGGAGGATCCACAAAATCATCGTCATCATCATCTGTAATGTGAGCCTGTCTAACACCAGTGTCCGTTACCAAACGCACTGATTCCTCACTCATGTGTGAAGGATCAATAGACTTTCCCTTCCTGCTTTCCTTTCGATGGCTACCCCGAGAAAATTCTGATTAAATTGTTTTGTTATGCTGCATACCATCCATGTATGACATTGCCATTTCAGCTTCAGTAGGCACCAGGTCACATATTTCAATCTGCATTGCATTACAGTAAAAGATTAGAGAATCAATAAGTTTACCATATCTTCCACTATCAGCAGAATATGGATTACTGAAACATCACATTAGGCTTGTTGAAGCAGCCCAGCTCCTCCAACTTAGATGCAGAAGGTTGCTCGTTTTGCATTCCAGTTATTGATTCGAGGGTGCGTCCTCGATACCCTTGTGACAATAACTTCATCTAGGTCAGAGAAGGTTTCGTAGATCCATGCTTGAAAGGCTACCAACATATCTCGTAGCCTATAATGTGCGGTTTGTCGACTCAATGCATCTTTCAAAGAACTCAAAGTAATCTCAAACGGTAACTTTCCCCATGGGAAACTGTTCAGCGCAGGGAAGTCCTCAACAAGCGCGAACAAGTAATGGTCAACCACTTTCTTATAATCTCTAGGAAATAAGTATGCAGTAATGAAGTACAGGATACCAATGAGTGCAACATCATGATCCAGGAGAGTTTCAACAAGATCTAGATCAAGCATTTGGCAAGCAGATATGAATGTGGACTTCACATCTTCATGTGTCACGGTATCCACTTGAGAAAAGTACTTATTCTTCAGTTGTGATTGTCTACTTTCAAAAATGCCCGTGTCACTATCGCCAGAACATCTCAGCCATGTGACTATGCAAAACTCAGATATAGAGAATCTAACATAACGCCCAGCAACTAAAAACCACGTCTCTTTAGGATTAGGTTGTTGGACCTGCCGCAAGATGAAGTAGTGAATTAATTGCGGTTGTACCACAATTTCATTGCAGTCGAGAAAATGGGCAAAGCATGTTCCCTTCATAATGAGCTTCTATCGGTCAGGTAATTTTGCTTGGATACTTGAAAGCACATCCTTGCTGACCGATGTTGTAATCTTTCCTGGGAACCATCGTTCCTTCGGTATGATATATTGCGAATCCTGCACAAAATTGTTTAGAAAAACCCAATGTTAAGTAAATGTAGGAAAATCACACACAATTATATGTATGCAACTGTGTACTCTGGCTACAAATAGATTAACATTGTTGTATAACCAGAAATAATATGGTCACAGGCGTGTGTAATACTATGAATCCAGGTGTCATGTTCACAACAAAACTTAGTCGCGGACGATTATCATGGTCACATGCCATGAGTATCATGTTCTATATTCAACTGAATGAGGTCACATAGGTATGCATTGTTACGCAATAAAGCCAGATAACTGTTGTCAAATCATGATACAAACCAATTACTGGCATACATTTTTGTTGTGTATTCAAGCCACAAACCATGTAAGCCACGGTCACATATTGACATCTTCGTCAATGTAGGCATCGTTGTTCATAATGCCTACAGTCACAGATGTATAAATAAATACTGTCAACAATCAGGCAACATGCAACAATCAGGTGAATCATTAAAAGTCACACATTCATAACTCCCTTGGTCACATATTGAGATCTTGGTCACATATAGATAATGGTGAGGTCACAGACAATTGATCAATTGACAAATGACGTACGTTCCTATGTACTTTGTTTGTGGTGCTATATACTTTGTTGTGCATTCAAGTCACGAACCATATAAGCAACAGTCATAGTTCGACATCTTGGTCAATGTAGGCATTGTTGTTCATAATGAATATAGTCACAAATGTATAAATCAGCAACGTCAACTATCAAGCCACATGCAATAATCAGGTGAATCATTAGAGGCCACACATTCATAGCTCCCTCGATCACACATCGACATCTTGGTCACATATTGATAATGGCGAGGTCACAGACATAATTTTTGTTATGTAATTAAGTGACATTTCTGGAGAAATCTAGGTCACACTCAATATTGGTACCAAGAACACTAATCCAACGATTAGGGCCGATTAAATGTCGGAAAAATTACATAAGACTTCAATGCTTCTAATCCATGAATTCCATCACCATGTTTGCCAATAAAATCATAATAACTAACACCTAAAATTATAATTACCTTTTTCGAGTGCAATTTCTTCACGGTCAGAGACGCCGATTGCTTATTAGGTGGTGTTTTTTGGGGGCTAACCACGGATTTCCTCTTGCTTCTACGTTTAGACGTCTCTTCCACATCGATTACCAACTTCGCGGCTTTCGACTTCTCCATTTCAGATGTCCACGGAGATTTGGGTGAAAACGGTAGAGTGTGTTATCCACTGCTTGATGTGGCCAGACGTGGCTTGTATTCTAAGTTGCCGGAAGTGAGATCAATGAGCGGTGTAGACGATTGAGAGAGTAGGAGATAGATGAAAAAGCGAAATTCCGGCACCTGGGAGGAACCGTGTAGAGGATTGAGAGATTGGGAGCAAGAAAGTGAGAGATATATGAAATGGTTTATTATGGAAGTTATTATAATTCAAATTCAAATTGTAATATTTAAGGGAACACGGCAGTTGCAATACATATCGTTTAAAAACTAAATTATAATTTTATATTTAAATATATAATAATTAAATTAAAACCTAAGATTTGCATAAACAATTTTGGTGGCTGAATCTTGCACAGTGATCTCCAAATGTCGGGAATTCTATAATTTCCACAAGTATAATTACCACATGGAATTTACCCTCTAACAAATTGATATCCAACAGTATAAAGAGGAAATTACATACAAGCAGGTCTTTAAAAATCACAGTTCATAATCAAGGTAAGAAGTTTATTTCTTTAAAAACCAGGTTTGTAACTATAATTAAAAATTAAAAACTTATATTAATCAAACCCTAAAATCTTACCCAATTTAAACCAATCACAGGCAACACTGCCTTCCCTCTCACACGCACAATCCTGGCGGCCGGCCTACCACCGGACGCGGCGCCCAACAATCTGGCGCCCAATCGTGCAGGCGACCACCGTGCTTGGACCGCCACTACGCGAAGCGTCGCCGTCGATCACCTTCTCCAGGAGCTCTACGCGACTGTGGTATCATCACTACAGAGCTTCGCCGATCACCTTCTCCGGGATTCTGCCTTCTCCGCTGTGTTCATGCTTGGTCCTCTGTGGCGGTGCTTAGATCTGAGAATCGCTGCGACGAATTATGCGCGGCCTCGGATCTTTGTTGTTGCGACGAGCTGTGCGCGGCCTCTAATCTTTGTCGCTGCAGCGATGAAGACGGCTCCGACGAAGTGACCATTGTTGTGAGGTGGTAAGGGTGGCTCTGGCGGTGGTTATGTGTTTTTGTTGTGTTTGGTGGTGGAGGTGCTAGTGCTGGTAGCCAACAGGGGTGATGTGAGTGGTGTTGGTGAGATTGTGGATTGGGTGTTGTTGGTGTGTTTGGTGGTTGCAGTCGTGGTGATTTCTGTCGAAGGAGGTGGTGGTTGGTAGCTGCTTTTGGCATTTGATTTGACCTGGGTTGTGGATGATTTTATTGGTGTTGGTGGCGGTGGCAGCAGTAACAGGGGCTGGTGGGGATTTTGTTGGCATTGGTGGTGGTGCCGGGTGAGGGTGGCTCGGGATTGGGTGTCTGTGACCAACTAATTTGGTCTCGTGACTGTAATCTGTGACCTTGAAATTCGATCAATTGTGATTAAAATGTAATCCGTGACCATTAAATTTGAAAATATATTACTTGTGACATATATAATTTTTGATATGTTACCTCAAAATTATTTGACTTACAAAGTTTTTGATTTGTGACCTCAAAAAAATCCGTGACCAATTAATTTGATGATAGTGATTAATAAAAAAGTCTGCGACCTATAATTATGTTCATGTGACCGCTAATTGTATAAATATGATCTCATTATATTTAATTAATAAAAAAATTAATTAACTAACTAAAACCTGATTTTTGCATTAGTTAAACTTAAAACGTGAGTGTTGAACTGTGCATAGTTAAACCATTATTTGTGAATTCTTCCCCAGTATAAAGTCGGCTGTCATGTGGGCTGGCCTGGCCCATGTGCTCTGTACTCGCGCCTCAGTACATCTAATTATCATACCTTGGGCAGTTGCTAGTAATTAGGTTCGTGAAATTGAACTCCCAACTAAGCCCATGGATAGAAATTGTTTATTTTTATTTTTATTTTTTTGAAAAAATTGAATTTTTGAATATAAAAGAGTGGTGTATATTGTGTCACTTTGACACATTTGTTTCTTTTTAAGGTTTTTTTGAACTACTTTCGATAGAACTACATTCTAATTGCACACAATAGTACTGAACAAGAACGCATAGATTCTTTTCACGAAAATGCTACATAAAAGCCAAAGTAATCTTCCCTTGAGAAATTGCCATCTTCAAAATTAAACGTAGGCAATCAAGGCATGCTTAATACGCACAATACAATAGACAAAAATTCATTTTTTTTTCTTAAAAAAAAATTCTGCACCAGACATGCACTCTAGAGATTTCATTTACTGATTAATGTATCTCAGAAAGATCACTCTTAACCGAAGTTGAAAAGGAAACAATCGGGAAAAGAAATTATCCCCCTTGTCCTTCTTGTTCCTTCAAAGGAGAAAAAGATTTGAACCATTGCTTCCATGGAGCATCTTCTTGTTGATCGATCCACGAAAGGAAACAGCTATCCAACAAACAGAAGAAGTTGACATAAAGAAGTTGATACCTCACAGGAACATATCGAAAGTTGACCACTTGAACAATTGGCCATACGCCTCCTTCCAAGACTAAGGCCGGGAGAAAATCTCTTTTCACGTCTTCCTTAACCTGAGCAGCACTTTTCCCCGTTGAAAACCCCATGTAAGTGAAGAATATGAGTAGATCCAATGGCCCAAAGAGCATACCATCAACTGCTACTTTTGTAGTTACAAACCGAAATGAATTTGGCCGTAGCTGTAGCCGCAACCTAATAAAACGATCCAGCCCTTCGTACCTGAATAGCCAGAAGCTAAATTTACCAAAAGAGCCATCCATTTATACTAAAAATTATTTTCGATTTTCACTATGTTGCTGGTTATTGTGCTAATTGATTTCTTGCTGCCCGTTAAAACTTTGCTAAAAGTTGAAGAAAATTTGAATAAATATTTTATTTGGAAGTATCTCGTGAAATGGATTTAATGTTCTCAGTTTGATCCACAACATCTTACGAGACGCAATAGTACAATTACCAATTTAGAAACCAAATTTCTAATAATTGAAACAGTATGTTGGCAATCAATTGACTAAGAATACTAACCAGAAGTGGCCGACTGGTCCAACAAATCCAAATCCAAACAAGCTTGTGGTAGCAACTCGTCTCCAATTAATCTTGAATTCTTTATCATCATCCTGCAGAGAAATGAGGGAGTGTCGGGTCACGTAAGTGTTCAGTAATATAACAGTCCACAACATGTCAGCATAACATAAAGCCAGATTGTCTAAGCTCCAGGCATTATACGCAAGCAAAGAAAGGAGCATTTCTTCATATTCATCTTCTTTATTTTCTATTTTTTGGTGGGAGGAGAGATGTATAAAAAAGGAAAGGATCGAGATGCAATGCTGTCAATCAGTAGAGTGTCAGTAATCGTGATCTCCAAAGTGTAAAAGCACAATGACATTTTTAAACTGGTGATACGAGCTAGTTCTAGAACTGTGCAAACAATTTAGTACTGTTTTTTGTTCTAGCAAAAGATCACGTTATTATCATATTGCATAAATAAACTATCTCGTCAGGCGCAGTTCTCAGTTATCAGCAGAAGTTAGTAGTGGCTTGCAAAGGAGCAGTAGAACTCAGAAGACCAGATTCATTGTTTGATTGAACAGGAAGCACTTTGACACTGCCTATTATTAACATATTTGAAAATCCAAATGCTTAGCTGGAGAATACCTGCAATCTCCCGGCACTCAACCTTTGACCTTGTGTCGGTGGAGATATATTCAAGATACTTTCCAGAACTTTGAAGTTACCCAATCAGCCAGTACCCTCAAAGAGATAGAACCAGAAGAGGAAAAAGGAAAGAAAGAAAGCAACACAAAAAGAGAGGAATGACAATTATCTTAATCTACTGAATATACTAAGCTGTTATGTCCCCATTTTTATTATTCAGACAGCATTGATCACAATATTACGCATCCATAATTCCGTAATTGTCTACAAGTCCTACCAACTCCTTCAAAAGATAACTGTCAGCTTCTCCCATGCTAGAGATGCTCCTGTCTATAGACAGCCCGACACTGCCATCTAGTATCTTACTTAAAAGATACTATTCCAGTCCCTATCTCCTTGTTCAAAGGCTTCCAGAGCCCAGCTACCATGCCTGATGTATCTTTATTAGATCTTCACGTTAGCAGAAGTCAGCAATGTGAAGAACGGCACACTAATAGAAGAACTTTGATTGGATATACAGTTTGTGCATCACTATAAATTTCATTAGGAAAGGACCGTGGCTTAACTTTTCTAACTAACAAGGATAAATTTGATAACATGAGGGAAGGGAAATTACAAGAGAGGAATGAAAGATATTTTATTAAATAGCCATCATGGGACAAACGTAGTTGTTTATTTGTATAATTTTTTGAAGTTATAGATAAGAGCTAAAATATGTTAGAGAAATTTTTTAGACTGGTATGCTACTTTTATTTTTTATTTTTATTTTATTTTTATTTTTTGTCAAAGTTACATTAGTCTCCCGGTAGAAAAATTCTCAAATATGTCAAATCAGTCATGTTGCATGACTGCAGTGCCTCTTTACTAAAATGTCCTCTAAGCAAATTTGACGAGATTCTAGTCTATATAGAACTTATTGACAAGTTCAGGATTTATGGCAGAATAAAATTTTAATTTAAATTGCAGAATAACTGATAAATATTATAGGCATGGAATAGTGGGTGAAGTATTACCCTCCGTGGAATTGCTAGTACGGAGTTCTGTAAAACTGATATGGATTCATGTCATATTACTTAATTTTACTTAAAATATTTCTAAATTGCAGTATCCTTGTGATGTTCATTTCAAGACAACAGGATGGGCAAAGCAGATTGTCTGACGAGAATGAAAAGGGCAAGGTAATGGAGGTGAAAAACTGTTACAGTTATCTGCAGTACAATGTGGACTAGGAAATGAGAGGGATGTGCACGGTAGCACTTCATCTCACAAAGGCACATTGACAAGCTAACTACTGAAGCTTTCCCTTCTCCCTTTTCTCTTTGTCGAAGCTGAAATTATCAAGAATCCAATTTTTTCCCCTGTAGGATAATGATTATTGAATAAAGGCAGGAATTCATAAACTCTTGACCACAGAGTATGACTTGCATCGTGCAATGCTTGTTGAAGAAGCAAACAATCCTCTCCCATGTAAATGTTACAAATTGAGCCGGTGGATTATATAACCATGGTATTAGTAACAGTGCAACAGTAGTTGCAAGCAATGCAGAAATGTATGCTCATTATTCAACGGTACATGCAAAAATAAAAATATATATAAACAACAATTTAGCTGCAATGTTTTCTTGATCAGAAATGTAATCCTGCTTACAAGTCTCAGATAATGCTCTGTTATTCCAGGAATAAATGGGCAATCTTGTTTTATGGTATCCTCTAAAATCCAGGACAGATAAACTAATTAGCAGGAGAATTGCTTCAACTATAGCTTTTCCTTGCCATCTATAGCCACACTAAATAGTCTAAATTACAGCTTTCGCTGTGATATTAGCCCTGAAGAAAGGTTCATTTGGGAAGCAGTCCAACGGATTCAATGTGTGGACAGAATGCCTCTTTCCTATACATATAAAGGAAAATGCAAGGATAAGCACTCTCTTCACCATATTTTCCCAGACAGTTGACTAACTAAACATATCGATTTGTGCAAATACTCCTTTTGAACCATCATAGTTGACACTTATGCTGAACTGCAGTACCATTGTTTTAACATCTATTAATCTCTCCACGTAAATCACATAGCAAATTCTACGGCTCTGATAATAAATTGCAAAAAGCAATGATGGACTAGGAAGAAAGTGTATTCTTAATCTGTAAATATTGAAAACAAGACTATATCTGCTAAAAAGAATATAATATTCACTTATACATTGGGCATTTCATTTTCATGCCATCCACACGAAAATACAAATAATTTTTCGCTACCCATAAGTTATACATACATATATGCAGTTAAATATATATAATGGAGAAATGATCTCTTGAGCAACTAAGCACCGGTGACATGGCTCACCAATGAACTTGTGAATCACTTAATTCTTGGGACTTACCGTGAATTTATTCCCCAAATAATTGATATGACATGTCACCGGTGATTAGGAGATCCTTTCTCATATACAATGACATGTATATACAATGCAGTACCAAATATACTTGAATAAACCTAGAAAACTCGAAACGCAAATAAATTTATAGATATTCATTTAATTAAATGTCCCAACATACAGAAACAACAATTAAAGGGAAAAAAAAAAACGCAGTCCATATGCCCAAAAAAATATTTAAACGAAGCCCATTAAAAATACCCAAATCCAGGACATAATTTCAATTTTTCAGAAAAAAAAAATAAATAAATGAAGAAGTAGAAAACAAATACATACAGGAGTTTGATTGTGATATTTCTTGACGGTTGAATTTGTAACAGCCTGGGCAGCAATATCACCAAATCCCCAAATGAATCCTGAGCTGATGACCTGGGTTTTAACAGGGTGCACGGCCAAGCACTTTTGGTACCATTTCCAAAGCTTCAACATGTTAATACTATGAAAATCATTCAATAAAATTTGAAATTTAGAATAATTTCTTCCAAAATATGCTATGAATTTGATGGTTATTAGTTTGGGAGGAAGCGGGGACGAGGATTGGTGTCGTCGAGGGAGAGTGCTTTGTGTGTATTAACTGTTCGACATATGGTTGAATATTCAGCTAATCTCTCCCTCTCTTTTATTATTTTCTAACTTTTTCTTTTTCGTGGGTTTAGTGTTATAGTCAATTTCTGTATCAAAGGAATCTTAGGCAGCTGTTGATTTCCATTTTCATTTTTCCTTTTTATTTTCAAAATAATTTTTAATTTTTCCTTGAAAATGTCCCGTTTTCCGTATTTTGAGCGTTATAGCAATTTATAACTGAAAACCCTCAAAATGATAAAAAGTCGTTTTACGTTTTTAGTTATAAATTTTAATTCGTTTTCGAAAATGCGTTTTCGAAAACGACGGATCAAATGCGTTTTCCGCGTTTTCGAAAATGAAAAATAGAAAATGGTCCGAGAACGACAAACCAATCGCACCCTTAGGGTTCGTTTGATTGCAAAGATGAAATTGAATTGAATTGAAAACGAATTCCAAAGAATTAAATTGCTTAAAAATTATTTTCTTGAGAATTGTAAATTATTATGTTTGATTGGGATAATTTTTTATGTGGAAAATATTGAAATAAAAGTGTTTTTTGATCTCCGTTTGGCTTTATTTTACATGAAAATTGTCAATTAAAATGATAGATTTTACTAGTATTGAGGATGAAATTTGTTTCCATTGCCAACACATAAAAAAAAAATTCAAGAAAATTATCTATTTTTTTGGTGTTCGTTTGAATTTATTTTGCATGAAAATTGTCATTTAAAAGGAAATTTTTTTTTACAATAATTTTTAGAATTTGTTTCCATTGCCAACAAAAAAATCGAAAAAAATAAGAATTCCAATTCTCACCATTTTGGTGAGAATTGGAATTTGAGGAAAACATGGAAATTAGGTTAAGTGGCATAAATGGTGGAATTCAAACTCTAGGGAAAATTTTGCCAATCAAACAACAAAAAACTGGAAAGATGAAATTTGATTTCCACTTTCTATAGGATTGGGGTGCAATCAAACATAGCCTTAGAAGAAGTGCAATATGTTTCAAAATCAAATTATGTAGCTAAAATTAATTTAGGAATTATTAGGAATTAATTTGTAATAATAAGTGATTCGATTGATGCACCTCGTAAGTTCCCATGAATATAAAAAGGATTTAATAAAATTATATTAATGAAATAAATTTAAAAATTACACTTTGTTTGAACCCCCTTTTTTTTTTTAAATACATTTTGCAACAGTGTTATGATGGAGAATGTGAAATTAAAATTAAGAAAAAAATTTGAATTTACGTATAATATTAATTTATTGAAAAATGTGTTGTTGTAATGTAGTGAAATCACTATAAAAAATGTATTTTGACAAAAAAAAAAAAAAAAATAGGCTTAAACAAGTTTATTAAGTTCTCATTGACATTAAAATGATAGAATATCTTTAAAAATCAAATTATGTGGATCAAACCTATAATAATCAAGTCGATTGGTCGACCTATTAAGTTCTTGTGGATATTAGAAGGATTATATCTTTGAAAATCAGATTATGTAGATCAAATCGTTTTACAAATTAGTCTACTCTAATAAGTAAGTCGATTGTTTAAAATAACTTTATTGATGGACTAACTTTATTATAAAATGCAAATATAAACGTAAATCTTACATTTAAAACACTTGTAAAATGTGTTTACATTTCACAAAAAACATAATAATAATTCGAAACACGTAAATGAAAGTATGCAGCTTTTCTATTTATAGATTAATTTTAAATTATATTAAAATTTTAAAGAAAATAAAAATATGATGGATGAAACAACATATAATATTTTTGATTAGTCCGAACCAACTCACCTATATTCGTGCCTAGGGCTGTAAATGAATCGGATATGGAGCGGATCTGCCCAAATTTGATCCGATTTGTTAAGAAAAATTATGTGAAAATTACATATTCTAATAGATTAAAAATTTTCATTTCTTAAATAAGATGCAATGTTTAATATTTCACAAATCAGAAATTTTTTTAATTAATTAATGTATTTAAAATAAATTAATTAAACAAACCCTAACTATAATAATTTCAGTCTCAATACCCTGTCTCTCTCTACTCGACTCTTTTGTTCTCTTTCTCAATTTCCTCTCTCTCAGGCACGGCGACAGTCAACTCTTCTCTCCGATCATCGTATCGCCGTAAATTGTCAATTCTACAGATCCGGTTGAGGTGGGATCTGGTTGTGATGTTGTGATTGGTAGGTGGCAGTGGATTGTGGCAGGTGGTTTGTGTGTGGAATGGCATGGGTGAATTGGTGGTTGATATTTTGGGAATTTTCATTATTACATATGTTATGCAGTGGTCGATGGTGGTGGTGGTGGTGGTAGTTGTGGACGGGGTTTATGTGTGGGATGGTGTGCGTGACGCGATCTGATGATTACTGTGATGGTGGTTTTGGGTGGCTGGTGGTGGTGATGATGATCGGATCTGGCAGTGTGGTATGGTGTTAGTACAGGTGGTTGATGGCGGGTGAGGTGCGATACTTGTGGTGGTTTTGGCATGGGTTGTGGTGGTTGGTTTCTTCCATTGTGTTGGTAGAATGGGTGACGCTATTTGGTGTTTGTTTTTCGTGACGGTGATGTTGTTGGTGACGGGGGCAGTTCTGGCGGTGACAATGGCGTGGTGCTGTTGGAAGTGGTGGTCGTTGCTAGTGATGGTGGTAACGTCGTGGTGGTGGAGGCGCCGTTGGTGTTGATGATTGTGGTGGTTTCGTGTGGAGTGGAGTGGGGATGCGGGATAGTGGAGTCTGGGTTATGCTGTGTTTGTCGTTCCAGTGGATTGTGTTTTTCCTTTTTTTTGTCGGCGTGAGATGATTGGATAGTGGTGATGTCGTGGCGGTGGAGGCGCTGTTGGTGTTGATGGTGGTGGTGGTGGCACTGCGTGGAGGGAAGTAGGGCTGCAAGATGGTAGAGTTTGGGTTAGGTTGCATTGGTAGCAACGGTGACGGTTGTGGTGAGTTGCTAGCTGTGTTATCGTCAGTGTTGATAGTGGTTGTAGTGAATTGCCGGCTGTGGTAGTGGCGGTGGTAGAGTAGGTTAGGGTGGGTGAGATTGTGGTGGTGGTAGTGGTAGTGGTAGTGAGGTGGTGTTGTACTGTATTTATGACCAATAAATTGGTTGAAAATTGTGACTGTGATTCAATAATTGATTAAGTTGTGATCAAAAAATTAATTGTGACCAATTAATCTAATAATTTGTAATGAATAAATGAGTTGTGACCAATAAAAATTTTGATTTTGTGATCGATTATTAATCTGTGACCTGTAAAAAAATTATTTGTGATCAAAAAATAATTCCTGACCTAGAAATTTTTTAATTTATGACCGAAAAATAAGTTGTGACCAATAATTTAATAAATTTGTGACTAAAAATTAATCTGTGACTAATTATTTTTTTGATTTTGTGACTAATGAATAATTCGTGACCTATAAAATTTTTTATTCTTGGCTGAAAAATAATATGTGACCTATAAATTTTTTGATTTGTGATCAAAAAATAAGTTGAGACTAATAAATTGATAAATTGTGACTAGAAATTAATCTGTGACCAATTAATTTTTTGATTTGTGACCGATAAACAAACTATAACCTTCAAAATTTTTCAATTGTGATCGTAAAATAATTTGTGACATAAAATTTTTGATTTATGATCAAAAAATAATAAATTAGTAATTAAATTGTTAATTCGTAATCAAATTGTATATATTCGTGACCTAAATATATTAAATTAATAAAATAATGAAATCATAAATAAATTTAAATAAAAATCTGATTTTTGAATTTTGAAACTTATTTTCTTAATTTTAAAATATATCATACTTAATTTCTCACTTATGAAATTTTTCCAAAAATTATCCTATCCAATCCAATCCGATAATCCAATAGATATTTGATTGTTAAATCCATATTCGATTTATTATCCGATCTGAATTTGAAAATAATATTTTTTCCACTATTTTTTTTGGATAATATGATTTTTTCCCAAAAAATATTTTAACTATCTTGATGGGCTCACCTATTTATTAGAAGGCCCAAATCAGTTTTTTATTCAAGTGATGTTCCTGTAGTTCCTTTTTAAAGGAGACTCCTCTTAAAATGTTTTAGTAATATTCCAATGTGAGGTACTAACTTTTTAAATGATACTTCTCTTCCAATATTTTAGTGATCTTTTAATGTGGTATATTAGTCAATTGTCAATTCTAAATGTTACTAGTTTATTTTATTATTTTCATTAAAAATCATAGCCTCAAGGCCCTCAACAAGATTATAATCACAAATTATATCAATTTAAAAAATATAAATTATTTTTGGACATATTAATTATTAGTTTTTGATGTTATAAAACAAATTACTATAATTATTTTTTCTTATTTTAATTAATAAAAAAATTAAATCTCTTTGAATATTTCAATTAACAATATTATATTATTATCTAATATTATTTATTATTTGAAAATTATGTGTAAAGCATAATATAAGTTTGAAAATGGAAAAAAATTATGTTTACTAGATTATGATATAATTTATAAAATATATTATATTATTATAATAAATCGGATCGGATTGACCTATATCTATATTTGCTACATTTAGTTAACGGATTATCATATTTGGATCTTAATCGAATTATCGGATTGAGACCTTAAATCCATCTCTCATTAATTTCATCGAATTCGGATCAAAATTCAATCCATCGACAGCCCTATTCGCGCCCTTATTAAAATTGGATACAATCGAGAAATGTTACTTTTTACGTTTTATTTTTCAGTAATGTTGGGCATACAAAATATTGTCCACAGAAGTTTTACATGAAACTTGAAAATAGTGAGGTGGCATTTGAAAGAAACAAAAACAAAAATAAAATGTGAGATAACCGGGAACCACGCATTACATTTTCTCATCTTCCCCAAATTATCCAATGTCACCTAGAGACTACACCCATCTTCTCACTCCATCGCAAGCTAACCAATCGGTGGCACAACTCCGACCATCCCGATTGAAGGCTTTTATTGCTAACCAATTGAAAAAACTAAACTAAACTCCCAATTGAAATCTTATTTTGCGT